CGTGCGTACCTGAGAGGCGTCTTTAAACAGAGTCCACATGTCAGAGACGAGCTCCGCGGCCGTTTGATACGGAGGAGGCCGGCGGAGGGTCAGGCGGTCCGATATCGACTTCAGCCGAGACAAACCGCCAAACTGAAGAGAAGAAAACAAAGTCTTCAGGCTGCAGGAGCGCCACCTGCTGGTTCAACGACAGCTACAGGAGACCCTTTATTTTGCATTTCCAGGTTTATTTTCATTCATGCACCTTTTATGAAGTGTATAAACCTGTTAGCTGCTAAAAGCTTCTACTCTGACTGGAGCTTTGTTCAGACTGACCTGAGAGCACCGACTGCAGACTTCGACCTTCACATGCAGAACGAGACTCTCGCACCTCTGAAAAACAAAAACATAACACACAAAACTTTAGAAGGAAATCTGCCACAAACTGATGGAGACAAGAGTCACTTTGTGAAGTGAGGTGCAGACGCTGACCCTGAGGCTCTGCAGACTGAGGCCGGTATGCTGACGTCTCTCGGTGCTGTAGGGGTCTGACGGGTCTGACAGGTTCTGACATAATGAACACGCCCACTCTGACCTGCAGGACGAGGACAAACAGCAGAGGTCACTTCACTGAGTGATGTTACTGACACTCATAGTCTGCACTTCCTGCAGAGGTTTGGATGCACGCTCAATCATCCAGGTAAGGAAGACGCAAGGAGCTGATTCTGTTCATCTGGACGTTTTCAGAGAAATGTTTCATCATCACTGCAGGTTTCAATCTTATAAACAGGACGTTTGCATAATGACTGAAACCAGCCCACTGAAGGAACAATGGGCTGGGAGGTCAGTTCCTTCATCATTAAGACTTGTCATGACAGCAGTAGGGCTGTTCGATATAACGACATATATCAGATGACGATATAAAAACATCTGTCGTTTCATTTTACGCTATCGTTTGTTTCGTGGTGTCGCAAAATAAACTGTTTACAGCAATATTTTTTCATGTTTTGATGTCGCTGTAGTTATTATTAATTTCTTAAAGTTCTCTCTTTCTCTTATATTTAATATAACCACACTACGGACGGACAAGCGCCTGTTTTTATGTGTTGTCATTAGCAACAACGACAGTAACAGCATCGCGTGTCTGCTTGTTTATGTTCCACATAAATCTTTCACAATAAAGCTCAAGATCCTGTTGAGACTTTTCAAAATAAACTGAATCACGTGAAAGAGCAGATTATTTACGGATGAGAAGTAAAAAGGAAGTCAGGTGCTAAAAAATAAACCTTAGACTCAAACGTTAGAACAGGCTTTTTCCCGCAGCACGCCGTGTAACAAATACTCACAAAGAAAACGGCGCCGTTACAACTTATGTCTAAAATGTATCGTTTCATGCATCGGTTAAAACACTCGACGCCCAGCTGGAAACACTTCACACAAGTCGAGCTGCCTGAGATTCACAGACTTTACAAAAAATGTTAAAATTTTGTGATTTATATCGTTATCGGGACGATAGACG